GGGAACTTGTAAAATAAAGGAAAAAGTATCAGAAGACTAATTTCCACTAATGACAATTCAGTTTCCATGAAATTTGAGGAAATAGTTCCCAGGAGGAATCAAAAAATTCTTCACTGCCTACCATGCTTGTGCAAAGAACCACTACAGTTAAGAAAAGGCGGGGCATGGTGGCTTATATCTGTAATCCCAGCATTTTGGGAGACCAAGGTGGGAGGACTGGTTGAGTCAAGGAGTTCAAGAACAACCAAGGCAACACAGCAAGGCCTCATGTTTACAAAAAAATAAAACAGCTGAGTCTAGTGGTGTGAGCCTGTAGATCCAACTACAAAAGGAAAACACACACACACACACACACACACACGCAGAGAAAAGGCAATACTGTAATAATACTAAATTACAGCTTGCTCTGGTGTTAGGTTCAAATATTGGCTATTTAAGATTTTTGCATTTCTACTGGTAATATTTGCTGTATACACAGGAATATATATGCATGCAGTCTCTTGCCAAACATTACTATCAAAAAGCCAACAGAGAGGCCCAAATGATTTCCAATCATTTAAGAGATCTAGAGGTACTGTATCTTTACAAAATGTTGCCATCTGTACAACCACATCCTATGGTGGTCAAGAGCAACTCAGTATATCCATCTTTTAACACTACATTTTCCAAAAATAATCTCCATCTGTTAGATTCAGTAACTGTATATTGTTCCTAATGTTCAAAATGCACTACCTATTATTCCTTTCTCAAAGGTATAGTCTTCATTTGTAAGAATTAAAATTTAAAACATAGCAAAAATCTGAAGTAGTCACGTACCACAAAACAATGTTTCAGTCAACAGTGGACCACGTATATTACTCTGTCACCCAGGCTGGAATGCAGTGGCGCAATTACAGTTCAATAAAACCGCCGCCTCTGGGCTCAAGTGATCCTCCCAACTCAGACTCCCCAGTAGCTGGACTATAGGCATGCACCACCATGCTCGGTTAATTTTTAAAATTTTTTTGTAGAGAAGGGGTTTCCCTATGTTGCTCAGGCTGGTCTCCAGCTCTTGGGCTCAAGTGATGTGCCCACCTTGGCTTCCCAAAGTGCTGGGATTACAGGAGTGAGCCACTAAGCCTGGCCTATAGTACCATATTTTTACTGTATGTTTTCTACGCTTAGTTATGTTTAGATACATAAATACATAGCATCATGTTACAGTTACCTATAGTATCCAGTACAGTAACATGCTGTGCAGGTTTATAGCATAGGAGCAACAAGATATACCATATAGACTAGGTGTGCAGATTATACTGTCTAGGTTTGTGGAAGTACACTCCGTGATGTCTGCACAATGACAAAATCACCTAATGACATATTCCTCAGAACACATCCCAGTCATTAACTGATGCATGGCTGTATATAAATTAAAAGTGCTAACCGAAACATAAAGGCACAAATACACGTACCACATGATTAAAAGTCAACTGTAGGCCAGGTGCGGTGGCTCACACCTATAATCCCAGCATTTTGGGAGGCTGAGGTGGGCAGATCACTTGAGGTCAAGAGTTCATGACCAGTCTGGCCAATACGGTGAAATCCCATCTCTACTAAAAATACAAAAATTAGCCAGGCGTGGTGGTGTGCACCTGTAATCCCAGCTACTTGTGAGGCTGAGGTAGGAGAATCACTTGAACCTAGGAGGCAAAGGTTGCAGCGAGCTAAGATCGTGCCACTGCACTCCAGCCTGGGTGACAGAGAGAGACTGTCTCAAAAAAAAAAAAAAAAGAGAAGAGAAGAAAAAAATCAACTGTAAATCTGAAAGTAATTAGAGATTTTGCTAATTAGCATTTAAAAATTTGTGTTCAAATTATAGCCTGCTCTAAACAGGCGGCTTGTAGAACCACTCTAGCCTAAATTATGTCTGGCTTGGCCAGAAGTGTAGGTTTTTGTTTACTTGTTTTGTTTGAATGTGAATTTGAATACTTTTAGGAGGTGCAGATGTATTTTGCCACAGACCCCACCGCTCCCAATTGTGTAACACTGAACCTCATTTATGTTCTCTGTGTGACCCTAAATAACTTTAGAAAATACTGAAACTGCCGGGAGTGGTGGCTCATGTCTGGAATTCCAGCACTTTGAGTGGCCTAAGAGGGCAATCACCTGAGCTCAGGAGTTCAAGACCAGCCTAGGCAACATAGCGAAACCCCATCTCTACCAAAAATACAAAAATTAGCTGGACATGGTGGCCCACGCCTGTAGTCCCAGCTACTTGGGGGACTGAGATGGGAGGATTGCATGAGTCTGGGAGGCAGAGGTGGCAGTAAGTTGAGATCTTGCCACTGCACTCCAATCCAGGTGACAACAGGGCAAGACCCAGTCTCAAAAAAAAAGAAAACACTGAAATAACTATTGTCCTGAACTACAGTGATTCTTTCCGTGATATGAATGTCACAGAAAAAGTAAACAATGGAATATTTTTCTAAGGGCAAACAAGTTCATTCTATTTTCAGAGACTTTCTGTAATTTGAAAAACCTCAGAAGTCAACGACCTCAATTCTCATCATTTTACAGGGAAATGACTGGGCCTATAGTGGTAAAGTGACTTGTCCAAGGTCATACAGCCAATTGGTAGCTTGGATACAAAACTGCTTTGAATTTGTTTCCTGCAACCAGACACTTTCATCAAAAGGAAGGGCGACTGTTTCTGATTATTCTGAGCCTGTGCCAACACTCTGCTCAGTGTTCTGCACTCAGTAAGTATTCAACAAGTAGTAATGAGATTTGCTTCCAAGAGGTAAACTCAGCTATTGTTTATAAAGAACAGAATCCAGCTAGAGTTAAGTAGAAAAAACAGATTCCTGCTCATCAGCCATAGTATTTGTTGAACGAATTAATAAATGAATGAATGGCTGAATGAATGAATGAATGAAACTTTAGTTCAAAGGTAGACTTGTAGTTGCTGGGTCCTTACATGGATAAAGGATCCAAACAAAGGCAAAACTATCAGTAACATTTAACCTTTTAAGACGACACTGGCCTTAATTAAGGTCTTTTCACACAGTAAAAATAGGTTCTCAATACAGTTCCAGACTGTCCAGTTAGGCCAAAGTACAGCATTTTGCACTTTGCACAGTCAGCAAATCATCATTTCCTTTGTTATATAAATTCATCCTTAGTAGACCTAAAATTTTGGGATCTAACAGCTCAGATCTAACTCAAATGTTTTTCAAAGTAATTCACTAACACATTACTTCAGCATTTCTTCCACATTTAGGGAAACTATTTTTTAAAAAACCATCATTCTGCAACATTCCCTTTTCCAACTACAGCATACAGTAGGGCTCAACAAACTGTAATATACATGCCCTTGGGTAACATCCAGTAATCTCTGGAAGCCTCCATATTCTTGTACCAAGCAAGGCTGCGAGAAGAACAATTTTTCTTAGTTATTGGCTATTTTTTTCCTTTGTTTCTTAAACTTTCATTAGCAGGGTCAAAGTTAATGTGGCCAAGGATATCTTGTAGGCAGACCAAATTCTCCTCTCTCAACTTCTACTCTCAGCCATACACTGTTCCAACTAAATTTAAATGGTGGAGAAATGTTTTTGTCACCTTTCCTCCTTCCCTTTCCATTTCATCTTCTTTATTTCTTTCTCCCTTTCCTTAGACAGAACATACAAGTTCAAACAAATCCCCTGTGTGTTCTGTGGGAAAGGAGTAAATGGTGTTTGTGATCAGTCCAGGATAAGAATAGGAGAAACTGAAACCAGGATAAGGGTGAAGAGAAACTGGTTAGGTTCAGCACCGGAGTCAATGGGGGAATGGAGGTTAAGGAAGAGAAGTAATGATCTTCAATTCTGTTTTGGCTTTCATAACAGTAACCGTTTCCATTTAGGAATGCCAAAATTTCAATGGACCAAAAGTATAACTGCGTTTAAGGTTTTTTTCTCTTTTATGGTATAGTGTATCTGTGAACTGGGGGCAGGGAGAGCTGTGTCAACTCAGATACTAGAAAAGCTATTATAGTAGAGAGCTCACACATACATGGGAACACTTGCTGGAATCTGTCTTATGCTCACCAATGTGCAACCTGGGCATGTGAAGGCACTAATGACACATGTGGCAACCCCTGCCAATGGGGTCAGGAGCCAGTGGATTCATGATCCCTATCTGAGGCGCATTATGTACAGCTTCTTAGATCTTAGCAGTTTTCAGCCCAGTTGTCCACAGTGGTGACCAAATCAACATATCCTCATAGAAGCTTTCTCTCCTTCCCTGTTTCATTTTCCCTAGCCCCTACTACCAGTTCCTGAGAATCCCAGGCTCTGCTTTCTAGGGGGATCCCAGGTTAAAATAACAGAGGTGGTTACAAAGCTGGGAGAAGCCTTTCTCAACATGTCTGCCCCTTATCCCAGTGTAGCAATCTAATACTTCAAGGATCAGTATGTAGTTCTAGTATCACCTCCCACATGCATGGGCGATAAAAGTGGAGGGAGTTTATATGACTGGGGCTCCATTACATTTCTTGAAGAGCACTTTAAAAAGTTGGGACCGGCCAGGCATGGTAGCATGTGCCTGCAGTCCCAGCTACTCAGGAGGCTGAGGTGGGAGGAACATTACAGCCCAGGAGCCTGAGTTCAGCCTGGGCAATATCACAAGACCCCGTGTCTTTTAAAACAACAACAACAACAACAACAAAAACCAAACCTGGGATAAACACTTTGAAAAGAAAAAATCCATAGTCAAAACTCTCTACTCCTTTCTCCATGGAACTTTTGTAAGAATTCAAGACTGACTCTTCAGTGGGGTACAATGTGCCTGAAATGATGCAAATACTAACACACCCCACCCATAACATATATCTTCTGGTATCCACCCCTACACCCAGAAAGAGTTGCATAATAGGAATAAAGAATTTTTTGAAGTCTGTATGTTGCTAAATGGTTCAGGAATAGAAATGGGCTATTAGTCTTCATTCTGTAGACCAGGAAGGCAAATGCAAAAGATTTACTCACACATCATTGAATTCCTCCAGAGACCTTGCAGGTGTAAAAACGTCCAACAGACCAATCACCTGTAAGAAAATATAAAAATTAAACAGTAAATAAATATTAAACTCAGTATAGTACCCATCAGGTCTTAATCTTTTCTTTTTTTTTTTTAAGAGTCAGGGTCTAGGCCAGGAGCAGTGGCTCATGCCTGTAATCCCAGCACTTTGGGAGGCTGAGGCGGGTGAATCACCTGAAGTCAGGAGTTCAAGACCAGTCCGGCCTACATGGTGAAACCCTGTCTCTACTAAAAATACAAACATTAGCCAGGCATGGTGGTGGGCGCCTGTAATCCCAGCTACTCGGGAGGCTGAGGCAGGAGAATTGCTTAAACCTGGGAGGCGGAGGTTGCAGTGAGCTGAGATTGTGTCACTGCACTCCAGCCCGGGTGACAGAGCGAGACTCCGTCTCAAAAAAAAAAAAAAAAAAAAAAGAGTCAGGATCTCACTCTTGACATGCAAGCTAAAGTACAGTGACACCACCACAGTTCATGGCAGCTCAAGTAATCCTCCTGTCTCAGCTTCCCAAGTAGCTGGGACTATAAGCACATGCCACCACCATGCCTAGCTAATTTTTCTTTTTTTGTACAGATGTGTCTCACTAGAGTGCCCAGGCTGGTCTGGAACTTTTGGCCTCAAGTGATCCTCCCACTTTAGCATCCCAAAGTGCTGGGATTACAGCAGTGAGCCAGCCAGGTCTCAATCATTTTAATAGGAACTAATTCAAAACCAGCTACCTCAGTTCCATAACATCACGTCACATCCTTAGTAACGCCAACTAATTTTCTACCCAAATTATGCTTTTGTTTTCTACTTGTTAACATCAATTCTCATATTAACCCATTTTACCATTAAAAATCTTCATCTCTTTAGAATTTAATCATATGTAGTCAGTAGTTTACCAGAAGGCAAAAAGACTTAGGGTACCTGCGTTACGTATGTATTAATGGTCTAATGAATTAATCCAACAGGAAAAAAAGGTCACATGTCCATGGTTGTTACCATAATATTGTGTTTTTAAAAAATGTATTCCATGAAAAATTTCCATCTTAATGTATAGCCTTCAAAACTGACATATTTATAGCCTCAAAATATTCTCAGTATATTCTTGGTATTATTCTCACAAAGTCTTAATGGATCAAGTATTTAAATCAGACAATTTAAAAATGAAAAAAAAAAAAAGTCTATCTTTACACAGGGATAAAGCAAAGAGCTACTTAATACTCAATAACCCGAGGTCTTTGAAAAGTTTTCTGATCATGAATTCATCCACATACAGCACCTCCATCCCCCACCTCCCATTCATTTTCCTTAAAACCCAGGCCATTCGTTTCTACAGAGTTAGGTATTGACAAGACAAATAAGACATATTATAATTCATTTGTAATATGCCCAGCCATATTTGAGAGTATCTGGATATGAAGCAAGACTGTGGCCTCACTAGCACACTGTTCTAACCTGCCAACTTAAACACGAAGCTCTAGAAGTAAGATATGTTAATACTCAAAACATTATCATGAAAAAGATCTTCTAATTAGGATGTTACTCCACTCATCCAAATATCAGGCTTTTTTTTTTTTTTTTTGAGACACAGTTTCGCTCCTGTTACCCAGGCTGGAGTACATGGCACAATCTCAGCCCACTGCAACCTCTGCCTCCCAGGTATAAGCGATTCTTCTGCCTCAGCCTCCCGAGTGCACCACCATGCCTGACTCCAAATATCAGACTTTTTAAAAGCAACTTCAATTTTACAGTCCGAACTTGAAAAGGAGGTGGTGGGACACATACTTGGAATTTAAGAATAGGTTTCAAGTCCTTGAAAATTGTTCCAAAGGAAATAAAGAGTCCCTTTCAGATCCCTACCCAGACAACAGTATACAAGAAAATCAAAATTACCCATAATTGTACCACCCATTATAACCATCATTAACATTTTGAGATATATTTCCTTTGATTTTCTGATGTACATAAATTAAATTGGGGTTATACCATGCAGAGTTTTATATCCTGCCTTTTTACTTAATATTTAAACATTTGTATACAGCATATCTATCATTTGTGTATACCATAACTTAACCAATTTCCTATCTTTAGACATTTAAGGAATACTGCAAGAAAAATATATGTATTTTGCACATCTCATATTTTCTTCCAGGAAATAAATTTCAAGAAACAGAATTACAGAATCAAAGGACACCAATATATTTAAGAATCTTAATATTGTCAAATTGTCCTCCATAGAGGTAAGACCAACTTACATGCCCCCCCTCCCAATACAGTACCTGTGACCTCATTCATAATAGCGCTTTAAATTTAAGTCAAATCCATTTTCTTTTACCTTTTCCATCTAAACTATAATTGTTTCCCTTGAGTTTGGTACACTCCTGGCTTAAGACCTCTGGTCTTTTAATCATTCTCCCTTACACCCACTTCTACTTAAGGTAACTGAGGTCCAGAAGCTAACTTTACTCACCTGTTCCAATATTTTCTAATCAAAGATTCTTGTTATTTGAGATGCCCATCTCCTCAATATAATAGAAAAGTTTACAACTATTTACATTGTTTTACATTGTTTCCATTGTGATTGTGAAAATCACCCTCCTATGGAAATTAAATCATTAGAGATCCGATTTACACATGCAAGAGTTACCTCAAAGACAAAAAAAAAGTCAAAACTATTTTCAAATAAAAACTCCAATTTCAAACTGAAAACATAACAGACATTTTGGAACCAAACAGCTATAAGTTTGAACCCCAGTATCAGTCTGTGATTTCTTGGATCCAAAAGCTTATAATTTCTTCATTCCAATAACCTTGGCACTTGGAACGGAGTCTGGCATTCAGCAGGAGCTAAAATGAATGGCTATTATGTAAATAATAATTGGCAAATACATTTGGTATCTTCTCTTGAGTCCCATTTTCCTCATATGAAAAACATGAGGACATCATTGCTTATTTTCACAGTCCTGACAGCAAGACTGAGCAGGTAACGTATCTGAAGGTGGCTAGGACAAAGGACTGACCCACTGTGGATCATCAGAATAAGTGGTGACCACAGCCCACACAGCTGAATAGAGAATTACAAAATACAATATGCCTAAGCAAACTATCTGAAGCAGCTACTTCCATTAACAGAATTTGAGACATAAAGCTCAACTATTCAAATGATTAAAAAGCATGACTGCAAGAAGAAAAACAAAGTAACCTGAAAAAAAATAGAGAAAAGCCAACTAGTAAATACCCTAGCAAATTTTAATTTCCTAAAAAGGGCAATATTTATAATATTTAATGTATTTAACATAAGGACACCAAAAATAACAATTTTGAGATTAAAACTACTCATGTTAAATCAAAGTACTTAAATTTTTGATGGGTTTCACAAAATACCCCTCCCTCCATTAATCATATTTATGAAATATTAATCATAAGGAAAATACTGTAAAACAAAAAATTCTCAGCATTAAAATAGATCTGGAAAATATTTTAGGAATCTATTCATTTCTCATTTCTTTTTTTTTTTTTAAATATAATAATAGAGACTGGGTTTTGCCATGTTGCCCAGGCTAGTCTCAAACTTCTGGGTTCAAGCAATCCACCCACCTTTGCCTCCCGAAGTGCCAGGATTACAGGCATGAGCCACTGCACCCGGCCATTTCTCATTTCTTAAATGGAAATTCCCTTCTAAATCAAGTCATATTTTAGTCTATTTCCTTAACTCCTTCTGCTGATACATGACTTCAGTCACCTCAAAGTAATCCAGGAATAAAATTTTTAGAAAAGACATTTATAATACAAATAAGCAGCAAATATCTCTAATGATTATCCCATCATGGTCCAAAGCCTGGCAAATATAAGTCATATTTTTTATCAAATTAGTACACATCAAAAAAAAAATACTTTAAAACTCAGTATCCAAAGACCATATTTAGCATATTTAACAACAGCACATCAAAACAATCTCTTGGTCTACAATGGTAAGTTTAAATCTAAGGTTCCCAAATAAAATTTACAAAAGAATTTCTGTGATCATTTTTAAATTCTAAAATGTACAGATCTCTAGACCCATACGTGGGCCATTTCTGTAGTGTCTGCCCAGACAGCAAAAGGATGCAGCTGGCAGGCTGCCTCCCTTTAATCTTTCCTTAGAGCAGGTGTTAATGAGATCAAGGTCAGAAGTTCAATCAGGAATGGTCCAACTAACTTTGTTCAGAGAGAAACTCTCACAGTCACAGAGGACATCCCCTAGCTTCAGTCACTCACCTAATAAATGTTTTATTTATTATTCATGATCACTAACAGAAGAGACAACTCAAGATGAACTAGTGACTGTGGGTCAGAGGCATTTTTGTGTAAAAGATCACATGTGCCCTCTGGCACCTGAAAATTGTATTTGTCACCAACACTTAAAACGTTCACAAGTTTTAAGCTTCTGTTGCTGCTGCCTGTAGGAGGTTTGGCAGCTATAAAAATTGGATGGTGACCCAAAACAGTAATTTTTTAAAAAAGAAGAGGAAGGTAAACGAGACAAATTTCTCTGAAAACCCTCAATTAAACTTACTGGAAGTTTTGGTTCTTCATTGGGTAAAATTACTTTTACATTGTAAGCACCTAACAAATGTTTTTAAAATAGGCTAAAATGCAGGAATTTTTCTACATTGAGTCAAGTCTTTTGGCTTCAAACATTTGCCAATGGAATAGAGAACTATGAGACATTCAGCCATGTGTCTTATTTTGTTTAAATAACAAATCACTGATATCTAGGTGACCATCTACCGCTAGTAAGCAAGACACTTATAAAACAATACATGGAAATTAAAATCCTATTTTTCTAATATCATGATCCCTAAACACTGGCTTAACATATTTAGGAAGAAAAGCAAAACAATCAAGTGTAGCACTGATAATCTCTTAAACTAGATGTTCTTAAATTAGCGTAGCCACATCAATAAGATCCTAGGGGCTCCCAAAGGTGCTCTGGGGTTCCATAAATGTTTGGCTTGCATTTCATTTTCAAAATATCCTTTATACTTGCAAAGCTGTGACACTATCTCTGTCACATATAATAATGTGTAATGAAAAACAGCATACACACTCAAGTGTGTTAAAAATCAAATGCAAACACATCCCTTAAAGCTGCCAGGCCACCTTGATTTTATGCAGACCTAGGAATAAAGTTTCTGCTGCCAGCTTTTTCCACATATCTCAACTTCTTGTAAACATGTCACTGATTAGGAAAGCTGCAGCTCCACACTGAACATTCTTAAAACTCAGGTTTGCACATAGCTACTTATGTAAAATTATATTCAGGAATAGAAGTTGTCTGTAGAAATAGGATTTCCTCGATACTATACAATCAAAATAAAATGTGAAAATAAAAAGCAGCAGCTGTGATTATAATGGTATCCATAATCCAATTACAAATTTAAGTCTTAATGTTCTCAATTTAGAAGGAATTTACACTAATGAAACAAGTGTATGCTAATGAAGAATCACTTATCTGTGACTTTTTTCTCGCTATGAGGAAGTTAAATTACTAAAACAGTCTAAATAGTCAAATAATAAATTCACAGATTTTGAATTTTCTTCTACACAAAAAACAAGCAGTACAGCCAAAGGACTTTGAAATCTCTATGGCCATTGCTTCCACGATGCTACAAACTCCACAGTACCCTTCATACAGCAGTCACAGAAATTCACAACTTGATTTTGAAGTTCAGTAAAATGTCTTCAGTCAACTGTCCTTTTACTTTCAGTTAATACTCCAATTATATCCACTTATTTACCGTATTAGAATTTGTAAGCATCTTGGCAGAATGGCAATGTCCTCGAATTACCAAATTGGTAAAAAATAAAAAGTTATAATTAACTTAAACAATGCCTCTGACATATTTATTAAAATAAATGAATCTGGAAAAAAAGAAAAATTATTAACAAATATATAAAATAATAGCCCTCTTTGATAGGACTTTCAGTGAGCCTAGGGCACTCTTCCTCAGATTTTTCCACTTAAAAATATTAAGGCTCTATTATGAGAATGTGGGAGTCTGTGGCTATCAAAACACAAAATAGCCACAGACTCCCACATTCTCATAATAGAGCCTTAGGAAAACCAGGCAAAGAATACACAACCTTTTAATATTTTCTCTTAACAATTCTTGTGAATTTTGTGTTCTATTTCATAATATATTCTTTTACTTTAAAATTTTAAAGAGTTCCTTCCCCTCTAAAAACCTTTGAGTAAAACTAGAACTCCAGGAAGATGCATCACTTTCATTCCAAGTCTTTGACCTGACATAACCAAGTGGCCACTAACACCCCAGGACAAGAAGCAGGGACCAACATTTGATGCACTCCAATGCATTTCCATCTGCAGTAATTAAAACATTTTCCCCAGCCTATTCAAGATCAAAATTTATTCTTCCTTGAATGAATTAACTTACATTTTCATGTTTCATATGTTTAAGTAACCGCAGTTCTCTGTAGGTTCTTTTGGCATGAATGATGGACTGAAATGGTCTGGAGAGCTTCTTCACTGCCACACGTAACCCCGTTTTTGTGTCAAAAGCGGCACTAAGGAGAAAAAAAGGGGAAAAAACTCACCATTAAAAAGGCATTCTAAATACCATTTTGGGGTATTTATACGGCTATTTCCAAATTAAAGGGTCTATAACAAAATACAAAAAAAAAGCATAAAGATAAAAACAAAATGACCTATTATCCCACTATCCAAATAAAGCTTGTTATTATTTTTGGTGTTTCTCCTTGTCTTTTCTATGTATCTAAATCAGGAGTCAGCAAATTTTTTTCTATGAAGGGCCAGATAGTATTATTTTCAACTTTGCAAACCCTAAGACCTCTGTCACAACTACTCAACTCTGGTTGTAGGAGGAAAGCAGCCAGAAAATAAGTTTAAAAATGGGTGTGGCTGTGTTCTAATAAAATTTACAAAAACTGGCAGCTGCCTGATCTAGATGAGCCAACAGATTAATAAACAGAGTTGAATTCTGTCTTCCCTGCCTAGGCCTCACTGTCGTCACCTTGCCACATACACTGCCTGATTAGAGTCAAGGCCCAGGAAACTGTGTTTTCAGGACAATAAATTGCCACAAATATTTCTGGAGCACCTACAAAGTACTTGGCCCTTCAGGGAATGGGGGAAGAGCAAAACAGAGTAATAAAATAATTTCAAATGGTGATGAAAATACTATGACTAAATAAAAGGGTAATGGGATAAAGAGTGACAGAGAGCCAGCGGAGTTATGACACTTTAGCTAGGATGGCTGAGGAATCACATCTGACCTGAGAAGGAAACAATGTAATGATTAAATTCCCTATATAAATACATAAGAAAAAGAGCTTCAAGCAGAAGAAATAATAATATTAATGTTTATTGAGTCTTTACCCACACATACAAGAAATTATTCTAAGCCCTTTACATTAATTTGTCTCAATTCAGCTTTTGTAATTCCCCGAATCTCCTATGAAAAAACACTATTATCATTCCCCAACTTATAAATAAGCAACTGAAGCACAGAGTGGTTAAGTACCTTGACCATGGTCACAAAGCTTAAAAGTGGCAGAGCAGGGAGTCTGGATCCAGAGCTTATGCTACTGACCACTTGACTCTGCTATCTCTCAGAAGAGCAAGTGCAAACAAATGAAAAAAGAAACAGAGGTAGGAAAACTATGGCATGCTGGAGTGAGTGACAGAAAGACAGAAGGGCTGTGTGGATGGAGCACAGGGTGCAAGGGGAGAGTGGGAAGGGATGATATAAGAGATGCAGGCAGTGGCTAGATCATGGAGGACACCTACAGCAAAAATGAGATGTGTATATTTTAATTATTTTTAGAAATCATCGCTGGGCACGGTGGCTCACACCTGTAATCCCAGCACCTTGGGAGGCCGAGGCGGGTGGATCACAAGGTCAGGAGTTCGAGACCAGTCTGACCAACATGGTGAAATTCCGTTTCTACCAAAAATACAAAATTAACCGGGCGCAGTGGCAGGTGCCTGTAATCCCAGCTACTCGGGAGGCTGAGGCAGGAGAATCGCTTGATCCCAAGAGGCAGAGGTTGCAGTAAGCTGAGATTGCGCCATTGCACTCCAGCCTGGCAACAAGAGTGAAACTCTGTCTCCAAAAAATATATAATAGTAATAACAGAAATTGTCTGGGCCAGTTCCATTATGCCTCATCCTCCAGTTTGTCTCGGTCTCTAATATGTATCTAAGACTTTCTGGTCATCTATTATCACCAAACTCTCTGCCTGCCAAACTTGCTTTTACAACTCTGTACCTACTCCACTTCCCTTCCTTTCACTCCCAAACTTTTATGCCATGCCCTCAATCTTCAAATCCCAATTTGTGATAAACTCCTATAAATCTGCAACCTCTTTTCTGAACCTTCCCTCCATCTCTGTGAAACTAGGCCATTTCTAGAAGACACTGCTTCTCTTATAGCCCTGCCATTAGAAAGCATTCTCTAATAGCCCAGATACTTCCTGGCTAGCAGGTGGGTAGGAGTCTTCCTTGGCAGCCATTACCACTTCAGGACCATTACTTTCCATTTGTTCTATAAAATACCTCCTGCTCACAACCCTGATAAACCTATCCCTCTCTGCTGCTGGTATCCACTAACCTGAAATTTTCCATCATTCATTGAAAAGTTAGTGTCTATCCAGATCTCTCTACACTCCCAACTTCTGTCATCACTCTTGGCAACTTCAACATCCAGGTGAACGGCACACCCAACATCCTGTTTCCTGATCTCTCTAGGAAACTCCACCACACCCAGCCGTCTTCACAGTCACACTCTAGACCTTTATTCCTACCAAAAACTGCCCCACCTACAAAATTTTGAATGCCAGCAGCATTTGCTTTTCATCACAAACCTAGTTACTTCTAGTTTACTTGTACCCTGAATACAACAATTTGTTAACCTCGTCATTGCTTGTTTCTTTCCTTCAGCCCTCTTCTGTCTTCATTTCCCTTCCTGTTCCATGATTATAATCACTTCCTTGTACTTCTCTCTCTCTCTCTCTCTCTCTCTCTCTCTCTCTCTCTCTCTCTCTGATGTACTCACCTGGATAAAATTTAACCTTGGGTAATCTCAACCACTTAATTCTCCCATGACTGAATCCAAGGAACTAACTGAGGTTGAACAAAAAAGACGGTAGAATCAGATTTTCATTCTTAGTTTCTGACCTTAATCTCAAAGAGGCTCTCAATAAAGCCATTTTCTTGTAGTAAGTTCATTTTCCTACTCGAAAATGATCATTTGACATGTTCTCTCTCAAATCTCCAACTCACCCTCTTCCCTCAAGAGTTGTCCCTACCTTCACTGAGAAAACAGAAACCATCAAGAGGGGAGCTCCATTTGCTTATCCCCAAATCTATAAACCCATCGTCTCCACCTTCCCTGTTGCTATAACTAAGAATATACCCTTTCTTATCAAAATTCAAGACCACAATATATGCTTTGGAGCCACCCTCCTCATCTTCTCAAGGATTTCCCTTCTTCATTCCTCTTCTCCCTTGCATCATCAGTGTCTCCCTATCTACTGGACCATTCTCATCAGCAGAAAGGCACTCTACTTGTTTGCCACCTTCAACCAACAAACAAAAGACTTCCCTTGACAGTTCTCCATCACAGTTAAAATTCTCCAAAAAAATCACCTACACCAGAGGTTCCCAGATCAGCAGCATCAGTTTCACCTGGGAATTTATAGGAAATGAAAATTCTCAGGTACCACCCCAGAGTTACAGAATGAGAAACTTTGAACTAGGTCTAATAATCTGTATTTTATCAAGCCCTCCACATTAGTCTGATACATATTACAGTTTGAGAACCACTAATCTATACCTTTGCTACTCAAAGTGTGCTCCATTGCTCCATGGACCAGTAGCACTGGCATTATCTGGGAGCTCATTAGAAAATGCAGGATCTCTGCAGACAACAGGAAAGGAGAAAGGAGAAAGGAAAAGGAAAATGAAGAGGAAAAGGAAAGGACAGGACATCTTGGGCCCTAAAATAGAATTTACATTTTGACAAGATTTCCAGGTGATTAATATACCTCTTAAGATGTGAGAAGCACACATCTACACAACTGACTCATTTCAATTCCATTCTTCCCTCAATCCATTCCACTGAAACTGCTCTTCTCAAGGTCATTAATGATCTCTGCTACCAAATCCACTTTTCTAAGATTAGTAATTGACATAGTCACCACTTTCTCTAAATACTGTCCATCCTGGAGTCTTTATCAACACTTCTATTGGTTTTCTATGACCCCTGTGGCAGCTCCATCTCTGTCTCCACTGCATGTGCTGCTTCTACTCAAACTCTCTATGTCGGAGTTCTTCAGGACATGGTACTGGGCCCTCTTCTCTTTCCCACATTCTCTTTCTAGATAATCTCATCTATGTCCACAACTTTAAATTAAATGCCATCTATATATTGAAAACTCCCAAATTTATGTCTCTCACTGAAATCTCTTCTCTGTGTCCTGACGTCTCCATGAGAAAGACACATAAGCACCTGAAATACAGCAAGTACAAAACACCCAGAACTATTCTTCTCCATGTCTCTGTTATCCAGTTGCTCGAGCTAGACATTTGATTGTCATCCTTGATTTCTCCCTTTCCTCAGTCCCCATTCAAATCTATTGGCAAGTCTCATGGTTTTCACCTCCAAAATACATCTCAAAGTCAACTGCTCTTCATTTCACCACTATCATATTAGTCCACGTCACCAGCCTGCCGGTCCTTCTAATATGCTCTCCAAATGCAGCCAATACAGTCTTTTAAAAATACAAATGATGCCAGGCACAATGGCTCAAGCCTATAAACCAAGCACTTTGGGAGGCCAGGGTAAGAGGACTGTTTGAGCCCAGAAGTTTGAGATCAGCCTGAGCAACACAGCAAGACCCTGTATCTACAAAAAATAAAAAATTGGTTGGGTGTGGTGGCTCACGCCTGTAATCCCAGCACTTTGGGAGGCCAAGGCGGGTGGATCACTTGAGGTCAGGAGTTTGAGACCAGCTTGGCCAATATGGTGAAACCCATTTCTACTAAAAAAATACAAAATTTAGTGGGGCGTGGTGGCACACACTTGTAACCCCAGCTACCTGGGAGGCTGAGGCGGGAGGATCGCTTGAACCCAGGAGGTGGAGGTTGCACTGAGCTGAGATTGTATCACTGCACTCAAGCCTGAGCAACAAAGTGAGACTCTGTCTCAAAAAAATAGTTATAAATAAATTAAAAATCAGTCAGGCAGCCAGACGCAGTGGCTCACGCCTGTAATCCCAGCACTTTGGGAGGCCATGGTTACGAGTTTGAGACCAGCCTGGCCAACATGGTGAAATCCCGTCTCTACTAAAAATATACATTAAAAAAAATTAGCTGGGTGTGGTAGCAGGAGCCTGCAGTCCCAGCTACTCAGGAGGCTGAGGCAGAAGAATTGCTTGAACCAGGGAGGCGGAGGTTGCAGTGAGCTGAGATCACGCCATTGCACTCCAGCCTAGGCAACAAGAGCAAAACTCCATCTCAAAAAAAAAAAAAAAAAAAAAAAAAA